GAGACTTTTGTCAAATAAAATTCCAAGCAACCCAATTTAAAGCTTAGCAAATAGCAATGGTAGCATACTTGCTTCCGGTAATTTTCAACACAAAGTTGGTAGTCGTTGGAGTTGCTTGATGAGTGTGTAGAGCAATCTGAAGTGCAACTCGTAGGAGAAGCTGCAACATTGAAAAACAAATGAATACAATTGAACACTACTGTAGAGCAATTGAAAAGGGTTTGATATTATACATAGGGAGTCAATTTTGCACTTTCCTCCAGACATGGACAAAATTATCAAGCATGGTTGCCCTTCAAATTCATTTACCAATCACAACTGCATGGGGTCGAAGTGGCAAACCTGCTACACGGATGCACTGAAGAAGTGAGGTCTTGCCAAAACTATAAAGAAAACTTAATGAGAAGTAGTACAGCAATAAACTTCCCTAAGAAGTGAGACATTTACTTTTCACAGACATAGACCTCCAAGTGCTTGCTATTGGTTATTAACTGTACCCAGGATGACTTGTAAAAATAAAATGCTATGTAAATTCGTTACCAATCCGGTGGAAAGCATTTGTCGAATCACAAGTAATACAAAAAACAAAAAAACTCTTTGCGAAGGGAAGAGGGGTCTGCCAAAACTATAATAGGGCAGAACACCTATGACTTTTGCTATTCCCCAACTCTAGTAGTTTGAAGTTCGGCTGCTACAGTAATTACAAACTTTATGTAGACTCCAAATACCACAAACCGCATACTTGCCAGAATGCGTTGAGTGGCTATGAACGTTGAGAATTGAAGATAATTAAATAGTGAAGAGGAAAGAGTCACCCAAAACAACAGCAAATGGACGTTGAATGCGGAAAAATGCATTATTTATTACCCCTTCAGTTTGACATATTTAGTTTCGAAATGAAAATAAGCAGTGACAGCAAATGGATGTTTATTTGAGCCATATCATACAATTTGATATGGAAAACAAGATTGGCTAATACCTGCCGTTGCAGTTATCATTGCTGCTGCCGAGCTTGTATGCAACCTCAGACCCTTAATGCTGGAAAAAAGATTCCGATTGAAGTTCTCTAATTTGCACTAATTGTTTTTGTCAGCTACATATACTTTTTCAGGTAATTGAGTTGTTTTTGGCCCAAAGACTCCAATATATGAGACCAAGTTATCGGTAAAGGAGGGAAGGTTTACTTCTCTAGCTTTTTATTCTTTCTGCATGTTCCATACACAATTTCTACTTCTGTTACTGTTGCTTCGTAGTGTTAAAAAAATTAGACTCCAATGTGACAAATATGAGAGTTTAGAGTGTAATAAGTTCAAAATTGAAGTTTAGAATGCCAAAGTAAAAATTGAATACAAATTAGGATTGCAAACTGAGAATCTAATACAAGTTAGGAATGAATACAGGTTAGGATTGCAAAACTGAAGTTAGGAATGCAAAGTGGAACTAGTCCTTTTAAGCACGCGCAGTTGCCCATACTCATATTTTGTACACACTCTTTAATCTCTTTAGCTCACGATTAGGGATGGCAACGGGGGCGGGCGCCCGACCCGCCACCCGTTTGAAAAAAAAATATATATATATGTACATAATTATATATATATATATATATATATATATATAATGATATTATCAATTATACTACTAATTACACATGTCTATTAATAAAAATTATCAATTATTTATACTAAATTTATTAATACATTTATGTTAAATTCCTAACTACACTTAATACAATAACACTTTTTTCTAAAAAAACACAATATTAATTTAGTGATTGTATTTGTATCAAAAGTAAAAACTTGATTATTTTAGTTATATTTGTTTTATCATATTAGATTGTATTCAAATAACTTTTGTTTAATTATTTTTATGAGTTTCAATTGTAAAGTTACAATGAATAATAATTTAGTGATATGTTGATATTTTAGTACTTGATTATTTACTCAAATTTAATTATAATAAAATTATATAATAAAATTTTTTAACCCCACGGGTGCCCCCGCGGGAGAAGCGGGGCGGGGCGGGGGAAGCTGGAGGCGGGGGGAATTAAAATGCAAAGGGGCGGGGGTTGGGTGAGGTGTCCCCCGCCCCATTGCCACCCCTACTCACGATGTTAACGATTGGACTCAAATGGAATGAATTCAAGATTTAGGATGCAATATGTAATATGTGTAATATTTAAAATATATAAAAGGGGGAACGCCCATTTGCTACAGTGCAGCCATGGGCCGGTTTCAATGGTAATTCGGATGACTTCATGGGGTATTTTGGTCTTTCCAATGTGGCATAAAGGTTAAATTTGTGGCTCCTGAATTTTCTGATATTGACTTTGCATTTTCTTTCTCTATAATGCCCTTGGTGGTCAGGTTTTGCCCTTAAATTTGGAGACTTGTGTGTCCGTTTATTAATGTTTGGTTAGTCTTTCTTGTAATTTTGATCATGTTTGTGCCCTTTTATTGTTCTTTTCCTTTACCTTATCGGGATTACCCGATGGGGTTGAGCCCGAGGAGTCACAAATGCCCATTTTTTCTCTCATTTCTTCATCGTTGTCTCACTCTTCAGCTCATCTTCCCATCAATCATTCTCTTATGGGTTAATTACATTTACCTCCCCTGAGGTTTGACCATATTACCAATCAATTCCTGTAATTTGTCCAAATAACGGTCTCACCCTTTGAATGATCAAACATTTAACAAAAACCCCCTTAATGCCGAAAATGCCCTTATTGAGGCCATGTTGCATTAAAAAAAGAACATATTTTTATTTTATTAACCCTGAAGCAATCCAAAAAAATAGAAAAAGTTTTTGCTTATTATTTTATAAAAACCATATCTTTGCTTCCATAAATAGTTTTGAATCAATAATTATTTTAAATCTTAAAAATGAATATTAAAAATTAGATAAATTGAAAGAAAAATAAAAAAGAAGCAATTATTTTAAATCCTCAAGTATGGTTTGAATTTGTGGTTCAAGGCATGTTGCGGAGAGCACAAGGCATGTTCAAGATTGAGGATAATAGGTTGTGACTTTAGTATTTATGTTCACTTGTAGCTTTTCTATTATTGAAATTTGCAAATTATTTCTTGATAATCTTACGAATTAATTATATATGTGATGAATATCATTGTTAAGTTGTTAAGCTTAAAACGACTTATAAATCTCAACTTATTCAACCGTTGTTGTAAATCTCAGACTCTCTTAAAATATGTATTGCTAAGTTATCTACATTTTCAATACACAACTTTGTCAAATCCAGCATAAACCTTTCTGCATTTCATGAAGTATAATAACATAAAGGAGGGGTTGCGCTAACATTTCTCTTAATTATTTAAGTACTTTGCACAAACAGTATTAACATGGTTGAAAACATAGTTATATTAGTATTAACATATCCAAACACTTCTAAGACAAACTGCAAATGAAACTTTGAAAACAAATTGACTTGAGTTCTTATCCTATGTTTAGAATTCTTTTTCTGTGGTTTATATGCTCAACAATTAAACGCTTGCATATTGTATAAGCAAGTGCAAGATTTACTATAATCCCAAAAATGTGTCCTTTTCTTTTGGATCGACTTTCCTTTGTTTTCTAATAAATCTAACGCATTCTTTCTTCTTTTGGCTATCTACATTGAATTCTTCTAATGTTACAATTGCAAAGCTTTAAAAATATGTTAAGAAAAATAATTTTTTCTCTTTTTTTTTTTCATTATGGAAACACCAAATCTCCTTAATTTTTATTTATTGCTTTAGGGAATGTTATCCTTAAATGTCGCACTAATATTGCACCAAATATTCATCCAAGTTATCTTTTAGAAAAATATTTACAAGAATTCTTACTTTTATCGCCTGTCGTCAAGGGATTTTTTTTTTTAATTCCTTTACCCAGCTTATCTGATTTTTTTTTTTTTTTGTTTTTGTGGATAAATAAGGTGGAAGAAGAGGATGCCTGCGGCAAGTGATAAGTGATTATGATACAGGTTTTGAGATTCATTTCTGATAACACTTCAGTATTTGTGTTCACTTGTAGCTTTTCTAATATTGTTTGACTTTTAATTGTAGTAATACCCTTTCATATTACAGCAATCATTTGAAAATTAAGTTTATGGCATTTTGTAGTCTGATTCATGTCTCACAAGCTAGGGCATATTTGTTAAAGGCCGACAAATCTAAGATCAGCTTACACCATCGTACTTCTAGCTAAAACAAAATGCCAATGGACAATCACTATGAAACGCTTTTGTAGAAAGGATCTACCTTTGAACCGACTGTCATCACATTTAATTGAATAATAAAAAGTCCATATATATCTACAAGTATGCAATTTGCAATTCTGCAGATGGCCATTTCCGCATAAAAATTATAAGCCCTAAACGTCTAACTCCCTGTCTTCGTCACGGGCTACCCGCGCTGGGCGCGGGGGCCAAAAACTAGTATTATATTAGTGTAAAGTGAGAATCGAGTATAAGTTAAAAGGGGGTGCAATGCAGCTAGGGCTGTCAACGGGCCGGGTCCGGGCCGGAATTCATTATTTCGGATCCGGACCCGAATTACTATGCCGGATCCGGACCCGACCCGTTTACCCGACGGGTCTTTTATTCTACGTTCCGGATCCGGATCCGGGTCTATCCGAACAAATTTACCAAATTTTATAATTTCTAATAAAAATGAGAAAAAAATATATTTGTAAACTAATTTCTAACTAATACAAAGAAAAAATCAAATAAGAAAAGAAATCAAATTAACTTTATTAAAATACATCACCCTAATCAAATTATATTGATAAATATATATTTTTTAAATTATTAATTCATTTATATCCGGATCCGGGTCTAATACGGGCCGGAATACTATATTCCGTATCCGACCCGTTTTTTTGTTTGACAAAACGGATCCGGATCCGGATCCGGGAAACGGAATTAAATCCCTACCCATACCCGCAATAATTTCACGGATCCGGTCCGGATCCGGTCTAGACCCGACCCGTTGACAGGCCTAAATGCAGCAAATCCAGAGACAGCAGTTTACTATTGCTTTATATAGTTCCGTCTGCAAATGGTCGGCAGATAATCAACACCGCCAATGGCGGCAAAATCAGCTCTCAAAAATCTCTTTCCATACAATTGTTCCCTTAAGCTACCACCGCCTAAATTCCCCCTCTTTTTCCGCTCCACCGCCGCCAAAGCCATCACCCCTGCGGCCGCCGACTTTTCCACACTTGAATGTAGTAGCTGTAGTATTTCAAACTCTGCGCAAAAGAAGCAGAAGGCAAAAAATGCAAAGGTGTTGAAGCAAAAGACCAGTAGCTTTGTGGAGTCGCAAGTGAAGAGGCGGACGCGTTCGGATAGGGAGATTGATGAGGATAGCTTGTTAAAGTACTATGGAAATGATAATAGTTGTCCACATGTTCCTGTTTTGGTTGGTGAAGTCCTGGATGTCTTTGCTTCCGTGCCTCTCCGCTCTTTCGTTGATTGTACCCTCGGTGCTGCCGGCCACTCCTCCGCGGTATGTGTTTCTGCTGTATTTCTCATCATTAAGGTTTCATTTCCCTTTCCGTTTCTTTCAATTTTGGGGGAATTAGTTAGAATGGCCCGTTCAGAGCCCTAATTCGTGAGAAGTGTACAATTTTGGGACTTTTAGTATACGATAAAGTGGACGTTATAGAAATCGGAATTAATATGAATGCCCTTTACGATATGAGAGAAATTTAGAAAATTTCCCTATACTTGTTGTTGGCGGATGTTGTATCAAGATTATTATGTGTATGGAATGTGAATGAACGTATATCCATACACTATAGGTGAGTAAGGATGATTAATTATCTCACCATTTATCATCTGTCCTCGAAATGAAATTTGCTAATTAATTACCTTCCTATTGATATATGCGTTCTTTTTTACTTGTTTTGAGATTTCTTTTTTAGTTAGCAGGAATATGACCATATATCACAATTGTATAAGGAACCGTGCTAAATTGTCTACCTCACATGGAAATAAAAGCACATTTTGAAGAAGATAATGTTGATTTTGGGAAGTAGACTCAGGGGAATACGTAGAATAGTGTTGATCTTGCTTTAATGTAGTGACTGTATCATACCTAGCTTAGTTTATGTTTGTTTATGTTGCATTTAATTTGTAATTGCCCCTGTGTCTTTTTGTTGTAAAATGGAGAATAATTCTGAAATACTCTGTGTGAGTCATGTTTGCTGCAGTTATTTAAGTTAGTCGTAGACAACCAATTAATGATTATTGGTAGATCAAATTGCAGTCTGATGATTAGTGGTGTTAAAGTAAGGTCAGAGAAGGATGGGAAGACTTCAAACCTTGAATTTTTGATTTGGAAGGTCTAACAGATTTTGAAAGGACAATTTGGTGCATTTTCTAGCTGAATACAGTTGCTTGATTGTAACCATAGAAAAGTTTTCTGGAAATAGCATGGATCTAGGCAATAATTTTTCCTTTGGAAGAAGAACCATGGGCGAAAATCAGCGGAAGTGTGTACTGACTGTAAAGACTCTTCTAAGTAGCGATGAGCACTATCCATCAAAGCAATAGTTTCCTCTTCATATGTTCCTCATTAGGATGAACTATTTCTTGCAACATGTACTTCTGTAGCATATATTAGCACATATAAAGTGCTTTTTCCATGCTAATTGCTAATTAAATTCAAGAAAATTGCTGCTACAATTGAGCACTTACAAGCTGTCTGATGCTAATTCTCAATCTCAGTGGGAGGATTTTTCTCATATGTTTATCCAATATCTTCTCTTGTTTTAATTTTGATAATCTTGCCGCTCATTTGCTTCTTGCATCAGCCCATATACCACCTCCTTGGGGTTATTTCTTTCCTGCACCAATCCCCATTTTTAGATGCTGTTTCTAGTCTATTAGACTCTTTAGGTATTGGGTGACTGATTTTCCTCTTCATCACCTGTATTATTTTACTTTAATATGAGAAATTATTATAAGGCTTGGTTCGCTCTATATAGTAGCCTCCTTTGATTTCTTCTGAGGGATCTTCTTCTGGAGAATAATTTGATTGCTCTGAATATGTTTCTACATCTACAAATTTTTATAAGGTTAGAATTGTGTTCAATTTGTGAGTAAACCAAATTATGCTGAGAAAATTTTGTTAAGCTTTTCAAATTAACTAGCCCAGGTATTAATCTTCCCAACCATCAAATTGTTAGACCCCATTTCCCTCCTCTAGCAAGATTTATCAACTGTAGATCGCCTAGCTCTGATAAATTCTTCATGCAATGCAAGCTGAATGGCTCAGAGTGATTGATCTTACCTTTAGAAAGATCACCTATTGTTTTCAAAACAACAGATTTCATGTTACAACGTACATGAATTCATCATTTGACCCTCGAGTGGTTGTAAGCATGATAGAACTCTGGTTTCTATGCTGGATGCCTGGATCATTGTCTGAGCTGTGCGGTGTTCTAACAATTGCAGGTGTTTTATTTGACTTATGTGAGGGGTCTCTAAGAAGCTGTAGAGAATTAAATTCTGATGTGCAACTCAAAGTCAACAAACGGGAAATAGTTATATTAGTCAGTATTATACAAGTGGTAGAGCAATAGCAATACCTAAATTATTGGTGGAAAAGTGACACCTGTTCTATATTAGGTTAACAGTTCTTGATTGTCTAAGTACATAGATAGTGATAAAACTCATGAAATTGCTTCATGTTAACTGCACGTGAGGCTAAATTTCCTAATAAGCCAAATGAGTCCTACCTGAAACTCTCTTCACACAATTTACCTCTCATTGTCGAACAATATATATAAATTTGGAAAAATTTAGAAAGAAAAACTACTAGCTGTTGGATTGACCATTATTCAGTAACAATTATCCATAGTAACTTTTTAAGCACAACTAGTAGCTTGTCCTTGTCCATTGGTGTATTTCTAATAAGCCAAATGAGTCCTACCTGAAACTCTCTTCACGCATTTTACCTCTCATTCTTGAACAGTATAATTTAAATTTGGAAAATTTTAAAAATGAAAGATACTAGCTATTGGATTGACCATTATTCAGTAACAATTATCCATAGTAACTTTCTTGAGCTCAAATAATTAACCTATCCTTGTCCGTTGCTGCATTTCTAATTTAAATTTTAGGAGGTTAACGTATCTGACTTCTAGAAAAATACCCAGGAGTAATTGCTGATCCCTGTGCATGAACTGATATGATTCTTAGCTTTGCCTGTTAAGGTCATTCTCTACTTTATATCAGGTAGACACTCAGCACTGTTCTGGCTTCTTACCCCTTTCTTGCTCCTCCTGGACAATTGCATCATAGGAACCTGTGATATTTCTTGCTTTGGTAAGTCTTTGTGTGGCTGGTGGATCTTTTCTTTTTCTTCTTTTTTCCTCCTTTTTGTTGATGTATTTGGAAAGTGAATCTCTTTGGTTTGTTCAACCCAACATTCAGCTATACTATTAGACTAATCTCACCCTAAGTATACCAAATAGGATAGTTTTCTTGATTCATCTCAAAAGGGATTAAAATCAAGCATGGGGAAAATCAATGGGGTTCCTGCTAATCGATTTTCATGAGGGGTAGAGAGTAAAATACAAAACTCATTATAATTTTGTTGTTCATCAAAGCACGATGTTTTTGACTTCTTGTTAAAGCCTATAATAAAAGGAATTCTCATTCTTATCCTATGCCAAGCAATAAGGGAATTTGAGCCAAGTTGTTTAGCTTGAGGGAGTTTCTATTTGCATCCCGGTTTCAGTTCTAAGAAACAAAGGAAAAACGGTCTCACTTAGAGCTTAAAAGGTAGTCTTATATTATGTCCATTCTTTTCAGACTAGAAATGGATTTTCTTATCCTCGTTCAACTTTTGAGTGGCAAGGCATCTGTATCCTATTGGCTTACTTTTGTCTTTTGAGTTTTTCTTGTACCATGAGAGGGTCAGACTGGTGCTTTGAGAGTGTCATGTTTTCTTCATTTTTGCATGGTGGATGCTAGTTGATGGGGGCTTTCAGGTATCTAGAATTAAAATTCATATAGAAGATTATGGATACTTCTTTTCTCACTGCGAGTAGACAATGAAGCTTATTTGTATGTCTATTTGAGAGGATTTTGCACGTGAACTATGAGCTTTGTGCTTGACTTTATTACTGTATGCTAATGTTTGCTAGCATTTTAACATAGTAAATCATATTTCTACTGATCCTATAAAAGTATTTGGAAACTTCCTTGGTTTGGAGAAGGGAATCCCTTTTTTTACTGGTAAAAGTTTCCAGGGAGGTGACCATATGTATTACTCTTCCTACAAAGAAGGATAGTAATCTCTTGTAGCTTGTTTTCACTATTACATTCTGAGCTCTTGAAGATTGTCTTTTGCTTTCTGAAAGTATCTTGCTGAAAATAACAGATAATTAAGGCACACCCTGAGATGAAATTATTTCTTGGCCTGGATGTTGATCCTGTTGCCCATGAGATTGCTCAAGCTAGGATAAAAGGTGACTTATACCCGGATTGTTGCAAGTTTTCTTCAGACTTGCAAGTAAAGACTTTTGTCAATAATTTTAAGAATATCAAGTCTGTCCTCCATGATATTGATGAGAAATTATTGGTCGATGGGATATTAATGGACTTGGGGATGTCATCCATGCAGGTTTGCTCTTTTGACTTTATGCCTCTTTCTATCTGAATATTATCTAGAAGACCATTATACACCTCTCATGTTATCAGGCTTTGCTATTAACTGCTATTGACTCGGTAAAACTCTCACGTGCAGGTGAACAATGCAGAAAGGGGATTTAGTGTGCTAAATAATGGGCCACTTGATATGCGAATGAATCCTCAGGTAACCGCAGCCACATCCTTGTGGAGTAGTATGTTTTAAGTGTGTGCTGAATATGTTAAAAATCTTGTAAAAGAGGTAGGAACTTCAGCATTTTTTATTATAAGTGTTGAAAACAAATCTTTCTTCAATAAAAAGCGATAAATGAAAGATGAGAATGATGTGCAAAAGTATTCCCCTGCATCTTTGGCATCTTTGGCATCTTTTTGCTGTTGGGTGTAGTGGGTGTGGTATACAACTATTATTTTCCCTTAGGCTGGCCAAATTGCGCAGAACTTCAGTAGCCTTGTCCGAGGATTTATTGCTTAAGCTGTTAAAATATATATATATATATACTGTCCCCCTGCTGTAGCATATTATCATGTTTTATTCTGGTTAACATTTGATGCAGCCATAAGTAGAATGAGTAGAGCACAAATGTTCAAAAGAAAACAGTTAGGTAATAGATTATACACTGATGTCCAGTGTCACTAGCTCAAATAATTTGCAGAAAGTTATTTCTCTCCAACAGTGGTTGCATGCACCAAACCAATTAGAAAGTTGGATAAAATACCCTAAAGAATATATTTGTGTGGATACATTACCATAACCAATTTGCAGATGTGACTCCCTTTTTTTTGCAACCTTTCTTGTGATATTATTCTTCTCACATCCTCAGCTCTTGTTTGCTTACTTTGCTTTTTCTTTCCTATAGACCTCAAAAGGGCTGTCCTTACTGATTCTTACCATTCAATATTAGAGATACAGCTCTAATTTTAGACCAAGAATTATGTAATAAAACAAAAACAAAGATTTAGCCAACTTTGTTGACTTTGTCAATTAAGAATTATAAAAATGAATTAAATAGTGGCCAGGATTTTTAGCTTTTGGGTTTTGTCTGACTGTTGAAATTAGTAATTTTCATGGACTGAAGTAAGAACTTCAATACCAATTTATTGAGGTAAAAATAAAGATATAGGTAGTGGTATAAAGTGCGTAACAGGTTTAATCCTTCCATGATAAAATGTGAATCTGGCGGATGGAGTAAGATTTGAGAAAGTTTGTAGTGCTTGAGGAATGAAATAATGAGAAACACGAAAAAAGATTGTTTGCTGAAGAATTTAGATTTGAGATAGGGATGAATGGCAAAGAAGTGTTAGAGCCACTACATTCTTTTACTATCAGGTTTTAATGTCCACAGAAGGTTATACATGCATGTATCTTCCTACACACCACACTCTGCATACATATATATGAGTACATATGAATGAATGAATGAGGGGGGAGGGGGACCGGGGGGAGGTATACCTGAAGAATAATTTTTGAGGTCTTATACCTCCCTGCTTTTTTTCTGAAGTAATGTGAAATGTTATGATGATAACTATAGTCTTGGATTTTAAATGGAGTTTGCAACTTAGATTTTATGGAATTCAGTCTTTCCCTGTGGTTGGGCATTACCATACATAAACTTTGAACTATCTATTTGTGTCAAGTAGCAAGTTCTTTAATATCTTACTTAAAGAGAAAGTTTTGCTATGGAATACTTAAGTGCCCTAGACAAAACCGTCATTATTTACCAAGGAAGAGATAGACAAATTCTACATTCAACACTTTTTCCTACATTAGTAGAAATGCATCTTACTAACGGTCTGTTTGTTTCAATGTAGAATATTTTCCCTAAGAAACATATTCATTGAAAATCCTTTCCTGGAAAATATCTAATTTTCCCTTCATTTTCTGGTGTTTGGTGCAATTTTATGAAAATGCTCCAAAAAAATTAAAATCCTCCAACAATAATGTCGTCCCCGGATTTCTCCTTTGCTAATCGCTACTACTAATTATCACTGCCTCTACCCACAAGCAATCCCCAATCCAAATCCTTTCAAGTTCCAAAAAATAAATCAAAGACCAGAACCAGGAACTCATAATCTCTCAAATCCAGTTGAGTATCATAGACATAAAGAGTTTAAATTATATGCTTCCCACTGATTGAACCATTATAAGAAATTAGCAATTGAAACTTCATGTTTATTGTATTAACTCTTCTTCTAAAAATGTTCCTCCTGCCTCAATTCGCTTCACTTATTTTTCTTCTCCAAAACTTCTCAATGCAAAGCCCAATCTAGATCTAGAATTGTATAATCCATAATTGTGTTTGTGTGTGGCGCAAGAGAAAAGGAATAGTAGGGAGGAACATAAGAAAGAGGAAGAGCTCACAGAGATGGAAAGCTGCGGGATTTGCAGCAGCAAGTGCAGGGATGCTGCTGTTGATTTGATCTGTGGTTTAGTACTTGATGGTTTTGTACAATAGCCAAGTGCTGAGGAGACTGATAAGTTGCGATATTGTCAGAAATTAACTTCCGCATCTTAATTCCGGAAGTCATTTTACACCAAGAGATTTCTAATTCCGTATCTTAATTCCGGAAGTTGTGATAGTTGTCAGAAATTACCGAAGTTATTAACTTCTGTAAAAGATTTTCTACCAGAAAATTTTCCTAACCTCTTTTGCAGCCAAACACCAGAAATTGAAGAAAATATTTTCTGGAAAAGATTTTCAGTCCAAACAAACAGAACCTAAATCTCCCAAAGTGCTTTAAATTCGGTTAATAAACCTTATAGAAGGACTTGAGTTTGGCGGTAGAAAAACATGTATATTGAGATATTGCTGCACAAATAAATCATATATGCTATGCTCGAAGAAAATCACATATACAAATAAACACTAATGTTAAAAGGAGTATGGAAATGCATCGTATCCATATTAGTAATAATCTGTAATGGGACGTGGCATAAGGCCAGTATTGGAGACATGTCAGAGCCTCAGCCAATATCCTAAATTCACTTTGGCTATTGTCAAAGACCTCCCTTCAAGCTTTACATACAACCTTCACTGAGTTGAGCTGTCTGCAGAATTCTATTTTTATGAGATTTGAGTATGGGTTTCTGTTTACACACTTTAACTTGAGTGTCCCATTCCTGCAGCTTTGTTGCAATAGAGGGAAAGTTGTGTGGTAAAGTTAAACACAAGAAAGTGAGGTAAGCAAAGTTAAAAGTCACATTCCCGCGCACTTTTGGTTTACAAGAAAAAAGTTGAGAGAGTGGTCTGTTACTCAAATTTAGTGGTAGTTATTTTGATTTATGTGTCTATCTAACTATTTTGGTAATAACTCATTGTTGATTAGAACTGCAGAGACATTGAAGATTCTAGTGCAGGATAGTCTAGGAATATTTTATAGCAAGCTTTAGGCATCATACCACCAGGAATGTAGCTGAGAAATCTTCAGGTGTCAAGCATATAATGGCTTACAAAATCTCTCATAACCAGAAAGAAATGCTTCTGAACTGCATTCTTTGCTTTTAAATGAATTTTGAATAATTGCATATATGGACTTAAAAAACCTTTTACTAATCCAATCTTCAATATTGAAAATGAGACACTATTACTAAGAAGGCTTAGTCCAAATTAAGTTAAGAATATGGATGCGGTTGCATGTAAGACAGAAGAATCAAATTGTGAAACTACAGAACAATGGTAATTTCGAATTACTGAAGCATAAAAGATGACTAATGTAATGTAGAGCACATGAAGGAGACCACGAAACTAGTTGATTACGGAAAACTGTTTGTATATGGTTAAAGATCTGATGATTTACTATAAATTGCCCACATTTTCCAATATGTGCTCAGTTTAATCTTGAACTAAGATTTCCACAATCTTTTCCCTTGCAATTAGTTTTCTCAGTTAACGAATTAGATCGGTCTATGACAGGCCAGTCTAAAAGCAGAAGACATTCTAAACTCATGGCCAGATGCTGAAGTGGGGAAGGTACTGCAGGAGTATGGAGAAGAAAGCAATTGGTACCACATCCAGAACAAAATAGTAAAGGCCCGTTTACATGGTGGTTTGCATTCTACTGCTGAGCTAGTAGATCTCATTCGGAGCTCAGCTTCGAGGACAAGAGGTTGGTTGATTTTTTTCATCTTTTAGAATGTTACATGTTTTTAAATAATGATCAATTTTGTATTCTAAGACGCCCATAATGTAAGAAGTGCTATACGCTTGATCAAATAATCGTATTAATATTTCTTTCATGGTCAAGGATTTCTTGTGTTGTTGGTACTGAGACTAGTTCTCTCTGTTGCAAGTTCTTTATGATTATCTATGCCTGATAAATAGTTAATTCAAATGTATCAGGAGGGAGGCAAGGTTGGATCAAGACAGCAATAAGAGTGTTTCAAGCTTTAAGAATTGCAGTGAATGATGAACTCAACACGCTACAGGATTCCATCCACGCTTGTTTTGATTCCCTAGCTTCAGGAGGGAGGCTTGCAGTAATCTCATTTCACAGTTTGGAGGACAGGATTGTAAAGCAGACGTTTCTTGATATTATTAATTGCAATGGAGGCAAGGATGAAGTCCAAGATGGATGGTCATGTGATCCAGCAAAAGTCATTGTTGACAGAGGTGAAAAAGAAGCATGGATCAGACGGATGATATCAGGACAGATAGGATCTATCCTCACAAAAAGACCCATAACACCTTCTGAAAAGGAGGAGACATTGAACCCTCGCAGCCGAAGTGCTAAGCTCCGGGTGATTCAGAAAGGCTAAAGAAAGATTTGGCCAGCAACTAACAAGAAGACCTTTACATACACAAGGTCATGAACCATCTTTATCCAGCAAAAATCGATTCTGACAGGTGAAAAAGGAGTTTCGATTAGACAGATGATATCAAGGAAGGAAGGAACTATGCTCACCAAAAGACCCATAACACGAGAGAAGTAGGTGATATCGAACCCTCACTACCGAAGTGCTAAGTTCCAGTTGATTTTAGATGGTTTGATGAATGCTTTGACCCAGCAACTTTCAAGAAGAAGTTGTAAGGTCAAGTACCATGTTAAAAAGGCACCTTCTTCAATTTGTAACTGCATTGTTGTGTCAAGGGCCAGCTAAATTCAGGTCATCTGATTCCGAGATGCCTTTTGTATATACCAGGATTTTGGGAGTTTGATTTTGCGGGTTTGCGTTCGCAATATCCTCTATATGTAATGTCTTTGGTTTGATCCTTTCAGATGTGGGAATTTATCTGGAAGTGCCATTTTACCATGAAAAAGGGGAGTTCTAATCTTTGACTCTTGAAATTTACATATATTTACTCATATCGTATTTTTTATGGGGCTTGGGCCAGCAGATGTTTTCATTACCACTAGTTGAAAGGAGCATTTCATCTGTAACTTCTCAATCTAGTCCTATTATCAAATCTGGAATCACCTCAATAGCTTGTCTAGTGTCAATTACTTGTAATGACAATTTTCATGTTTGTAAGGCCGTTTTTGTAATATTCCCATCTTACGGCTGCCTTTATGCAAACAATTACTCTTGGGTGCCTTTAGTACTTGTTTTGGCTTTCTTGGGTGTGGAGAATTTAAAGGAACTGCTGCTACACATAACTTTGAGTACTCTGCAGTATTAGGCAATTGAGAACTTTAACAGCCTCAGTACTTTCAGAAGTCGTGGTTTTGGGGTTGAGATGTCACACTGAAGCTGATGGTGCTTGTATCAAATAACATGTGATTTTATTTATTTGAATATGACAATTCCTATATCACACATATGTAATTAATTTATTGAGACATGGACCTAATTTGATGCAGCTACAACAATGATTGTTTTCTAGATTCTAGACTTTGTAATGGGTCTTTCTAACAGATGTCCATAGGACATTAGTTAAGATATATTTTCAGGTGCCATATTTTAGGAAATGTAAAATTAATTTGAAAAAATAAATAAATATAAGGGAGGGTTAGGGTGGGTAAGATTGAATAGAGAAAGTATATAAATGCAAGAGAGGGTAATAATTGTTAATCTGTGTATATATATGGTGGGTTAGGTGAATATTAGATACGTTAACAGAGTACCCGCTAACAAAATTCTTGTAAATTAATTGGAATGGGGCAACTTCCAATTGCAGCTAGCCTATATTTAGCCTGTCTTCAGAATATGCATTTTCATAGTTTAATGTCATGATATTATGATTCCGAAGTACCTTTATTTATACGACATTACACATACATGTAATCAAGATCACTTTATTCAAACATGGTATTATGAGCTTAAATTGAAAGGGAAGAAAAAAAAAATACTCTAGCATCACTATGGAGATTGTTGAAGTTTTGGTGTCTTAGATTTAATGGAGAAGATAGGAATTTGAACTTCCAACCTACTAGAAATAGGAAAATAGTGTTGAATTATGCATCATTGATTAGATTAGATTAGATTGCTCGGACATTTCTTCTATATCTTTGTGTAATGTATTTCAAGGTAGTGCTTTTATGTTCCAATCTTAATACAAGTAGAGTTCCACACCAAATCCCATAATATATACCTGGTGGTTTTCCTTAAAAGAATTCAAAATTAAAAAAGTTTTTTCTTTTTCACAAAATTAACAAAAATTGATCTCTATAAGCTATAAACATATGGCCTTAAACATAGAACTAATGAGTGTATATCCTCAAATGAAAACATTACTCTCCAAAGGCAAATTTTTTTTCCAAAAAAAATTTCCTTCCTTCCCACCTCTGAATTTTTTCTTAGGTAGTCTTGACTCTCTCAGAAGCAATTAGCAAGAGTAAACAATAAAAGTAAAGTTTTTGAAACATTGTGCTCTTAAATTTTGGAGGTAGTCACACTTTATCAATATCAACTTTAGGAAAATGCCTTTTGTTCCCACTATAGACTAGTTAAATATTGGAGATGATTGCAACTAAAACCATAAAAAAAAAGCTAATGAATTGTACTCTTTCCCATGAATTATTAGTGCATTACTTATAAAAAAGAATGAATTATTAGTGCATTGAAAAATTATCATTTGGCTTTTAGGTTCCTTACTAAATGTGACTAGGGGCAATTATGGACAAATGCACACTTTTATATATAAAAGAAAATGTACGCTTTTTAAGAATAAATAGTTATGATAACAGAAGGTCAAAATTTATTTTTATATCTATTCTTAGTAGAAAAAAAATATTAAGTGATATTGCAAACAAAAATTTATTGTGGATAAAAAATATTAAGTAATAGAAACACATATTTACATTACTTTACTCCAAACAACATTACTTTACTTCAAACAAAATTACATAAGCACCCACTAATGATTGTTGTTTATGTGTCATTTGTTATCTTTTATAATGTTAATCTTGACACCAAGTTTTTCCAAATGTTTTTGTATAGAAGTTATTGGTCAACTATTTGTTGTGGCCAAACTTGTTCCCTTTTACAAAACTCAACTCTAGTTTTTTTTTCAAAAAAAAAAAAAAACATTTGGGTTATATGAGGCAAAAGTACTTGACAAGTTTCCTTTTTTTTTTTTGCAATTATTAAAAGAACCTTTAATATTTAACCCATCACATTTATTCTTTAATATGTAGTTTGAAAAATAAAATTTAACAATTGTCTAGCTAGCTCCATCTTGGAAACATTAAATGCAAAAAAAAAAAAAAATCAAAGAAAAGCTTATGATATATCATTGTTTAAGATTTTTATCACTAACTTTAGAGTAAAATAGATTTGATGATATGCAAATTTTATGTTGTAATTTTATAACCATTACAAACAATATTCTAAACGAAGCTGTTAGCTCTCAAATAATCTAAACTTATGCTGTACTTAATTTTATAACCATTATAAAAAGGGCTTTTGTTGGAAACGTATAAATAGTGTGAGGAGTAGTACTGTAGTAGTAGCAACATGCAAATAGAATAGTAAACCCCCGAAGTACAAAAGTCCAATCTCCAAATTCTACTCGATGATTCGGACTCCATGCCCTTTGGAGAGTCTCTGAGGAAATTCATGTCTCTGGACAAAATGTGCAAGATTTGCTTGATGATTTTGACCAGTGTTTTAGAGAGTTTGGGATTCTTGTGCCAATATAACCAGCACATGAGGTTTTGTTGAACATCTTGGATTAGACAGTCTGGTTAAGGGGAGTAATGAAGATTCTTCCACAGGTTGCAACAAAGTCTTGGAAGAAAGATGTAGTAGTTTATACATGTGCTATGAAAAGATTGTTGGTCGTTATGGAAAAGATGATTTTCATGTTTGCCTGTTTGGAAAGATGTTGCCTAAGTGTCCTAATAAATTTCAAGAAAATTTCAACTGAGAGTGAGAATTTTATTATAATGTCTCGAAGAAAATCCTATCGTATTGTGTGACGTGTGTTCCTCGAGTAAGTACATTAATTAGATAACTTCTAGTTGCAAGCATTTGTTATTAACAATAGAGTATGGTGGATTAGGGCTTTTATATAGTTTTGAAAATTTAGATATACAGAATTAATTTGTTTCATTACAAACTATTTGTATGAGTGTGGTGGATTAGGGTTGATACGTAGTTTTGAGAATTTAGTCGTACTGAATTAATATGTTTCATTTGCCAACTATTTGCTTGCATAGACAAATTTCATCATCCATGTTTCTTGGTAATTAAATTTCAAACATACGTAAAAGTTCACTAAGCTCTAAAAGTATCTAATAAAGCAGGACAACCACCACTTTGCATCCCCGAACTTGTATAATTTTTTCACTTTGCACCTTAAACTTTAATTTTGGATGCTTTACACTATAAACTCTTAATTTTGGATACTTTGCAACTTAAACTCTCAAGTTCGTCCTATTTGAGTCTAATTAATGACAATTTTAGTAAAATTAATAATATAGAAGACCCAACAAATCAATGATAATGTGACTAATGTAGTCAAAAGGTGCCAAGGTATTATAACAAGGGTAAAAAACAAAAAAAAAATCCCTGTGGTAAACCTAATACACAGAAAAACCCCGCATGGTTTCAAAATATACAACACGACCCTTCATACTTTGAACTAAATTGTAAAGGTGACAGAATCCGTTAAACTTAACGGAAATGGACATAATGACCAAAATGCCCTGATATAATTAAGCAAAAGACAGCTCAAAAAAATCATTTGTTTTATTCTCTAAATAGAGAGAATTGAGGGTTAAGGGGTAGAATAGGTATATTTGATAAAAATTAGGTATAAAAAATTTTTTTAGATTCCAACAAGTCATTTTCGTTAAATTTAACGGATTCCCTCTCCTTTACAATTTAGTTCAAAACATGATAGGGGTGAGCAATTACGGTAATAACTGAATTACCGATCGAAATCGATTTGAATTTGGTAATTCGGTAATTCGATCGGTAAATCGGTGATATCGAATTAGTAAGAATCGAATTAGGGTCGAAAATGGTTTTGGAGTTTTCGAATTCGAATTTACCGAATTCGAATTTATTTCGGTAAAATGGTAAAATATTACCGTTTTCAAATTCAAAATTCCGAATAAAGTTTAATATAAAATAAATATATTCAGAACTTTGGATGCTTAAAGAAGTGGTTTTTACTTCTATACAAACAAGCAAGATGATTGCTTGTCATGATTGTGTCCAAGTGCCAAGGCCAGGAAATAATTGCTTGTCATTATTATGCTTTTGACTAAGTTGATTACTTGATTACTGATTAGTGCTAAACTCGTATTTCATTTTCTAAGTTTATTCATATTTATTGATATCTTATTATGGTGGAAGGCCAATAGCCTTAGATTTCCAATCCTTTCCAAAGTTGCTCATGATGTGTTAGCAGTCCCAATTTCTACCGTGGCCTCCGAATCTGCTTTTAGTACCGGAGGTCGTGTTCTTGATACATTTAGGAGTTCTTTGACTCCTAGAATTGTGTAAGGTTTAATATGTGCTCAAGATTGGTTTCAGTCCTCCAAGACAGAATTAAACGTAGAAGAAAATCTAGAAGAGCTTGAAGGAATCTGGTAAGCTATCAAAATTTTTATTGCAAATTTTGAAGTATTTATTTGTTTCTAATAATTGCCTTTATGATACTTGATAAATTTTGTTTGTTCTTGCAGAGTTGCTGAAGACCGGAGGTTGAACCAACTATAATTGACCTTTGAGAGGGTCACAAATGCTGAAGTTTGCATTTTGAGAGTTGAATCAACTCTTCTTGCAAGTTGCAATTTCTGGACAATTGGCTTTCTGGATTGTGTATTGTAGTTTATCATTTCTGGACAAGTTAATTTAGACTTTTATCTCTGTTGAGTTATGATTTTTAGATTGATTTATAATTTTGGAGTATTGTTTCATGAATTTTATTTGTGGACAAGTTAATTTCGACGAGTTCATACTTTTATGGACTGTGGAGTGTGAATTTTAGTTTCATCATTTTGTAATTTGTGGATCAGTGATCCAACTATTATGTGTGTTATAAATTGTGGAATATCAATACTCATCATTAGTTCATGTTTGTTTCATTGTTTGTGGCTCAGTTAGTGTAATAGTATTGCTATTTGCTGATAAAAAATGGTCCAAAGAATTTGTTTTCTGAAATTCGGTTAAATCGATAAATGTCCGTTTTTCGAATTGAAATCGGATTGAATTCGAATTCGGTAATTTCTATTTCGAATGCGAATCAGGTCAAATTTTCCTAGAACCATTTACCGAAAAATACCGATTTCAAGCTACCGAATTACCGATTTCGAATTCGATGCTCACCACTAAAGCATGAGGTGTCGTGTTGTATATTTTGAAACCATAGGGGGCTTTTCTGTGTATGAGGCTTATCACAGGAGGTTTTTTTTTATTTTTTACCCTTATAACAAAAATAAAACAATACATTGTCATTAATTTGTATCATCTTTTATCTCGTTAATTTTGCTAACAATATTAATAGTTGAGACCCTATAAATCAATAATAATGTACTAAAAGTGGTAATAAAAGTTAATGGATCACAATTAAAATAAAATGGTACACTGTCATCAATTTTCACCGCTCTTTGTCTCATTAGTTTTGCAAACATAGTCATTGATTGGATTTAAATTGGACAAACTTGAGAGTTTAGAATTCAAAGTATTCAAAATTAAAAGTTTAGAGTGTAAAGTGTTCAAAATTAAAGTTTAGGGCGAAAAATGAAAAAGTGATACAAGTTTGAAGGTGCAAAATGAAATTAATCCAATAAAGCATGACTGCTGCTGAAGTAAGGGAGGTCAAGGCCTCAAGGGTGATCAACTCTAAAAGAAACTTCGTAAGATCCCAAGAAGAAACCAGTTATGCCTTGCCAAGGCAGCCTATAGCAACTTTGGGATTTAACCCTTATACTGAACGATGTTTCCATATCCAAGATTCTTTCCCACTAGCATAATTGGTAGGGTTATGAAATTGGTAATTCAATACTTAATTCTGTAATCTATTTTAATTTTCATCTAGGGAAAGAGATTATAATTGGCCGACTGAACCAAGGGAGAAAGAATAAGGAAACTTGATTCTCTTTTTTCCCCTTTTTATTCTGGCATAAACAGAGTAACAAAGGCTTGAATTGTGTGCTATAAGAAGACGCCCTTTTTCCCCTTCTTTTAATTGCCCCAAACATGGCATTCAATCGCTGTTTCTTCAACAAGGGTAGCTTGATCTTTAAGCCTCCAAAGAAATCAATCTGGTGGTTGAGAATGGTGGTATGGATGTTCTCAATTGTTTGTGGAGTTTATATATGTTATGTATCTCTTAGGCAAATCAGTGCCCCTTCCAGTGGAAGACTGTCAAGGGTTGAACTGGCAAGGCCATGCAAGAATCCTAGGATTGAACCTTCAGAAAAGCCTTTCTTGCACTATCCCAAACCCAAAACTTTTAGCAGAGCTGAGTGTGAATGCAATCCTGTTCGATATTTTGCTATTCTCTCCATGCAAAGATCAGGGAGCGGATGGTTTGAAACATTGTTGAACAGTCATATCAACATAAGCTCTAATGGGGAGATCTTCTCTGTCAAACCCCGGAGAGCTAATGCTTCAACTATAGTTGAAACTTTAGACAAACTCTACAATCTAGATTTCTTGACTAGTGCTTCCAAGAATGAGTGCACTGCTGCTGTTGGATTGAAGTGGATGCTTAATCAGGGTGTAATGCTGCATCATGAAGAAATACTAGAATACTTCATGAGTAGAGGAGTATCGATAATTTTCGTCTTCAGAAGAAATCTTCTGCGCAGGATGATCTCTGACCTTGCAAACTCGTACGATAAAAATGCGAAGCTATTGAACGGGACACACAAATCACACGTGCATTCTCTTGTGGAAGCTGAGATTCTAGCAAGATACAAGCCAACAATTAATGCAGCAATGCTGATAGCCAACCTGAGGCAAGTAGAAGAGACGGTAACTAAAGCTTTAGAATACTTCAAGAGCACTCGACATATTGTTCTATATTATGAGGACATAATAAAAAATCAGACTAAACTGATAGATGCTCAAGATTTTCTGAGGGTTCCAAGAATGGAGTTAGTTAGTCATCATGTTAAAATACATAGAGGGTCCTCATCTTCCCTGGTTGAGAACTGGGTGGATGTTGAAAAGGCGCTTGCAGGAACATCTTATGAGAGCTTCCTAGAGGAGGATTACAAGATGTAGACTTTCCTGAAAACATAGGATATTCATTTTGCTCTCTCTCTTTAAGTTTTTCATTCATTATTTTTGTCAGTAGAAGCTAGCATAATCTCTTAATTAACAAACAATGTACTCCATATCTTGTGAGACCTTGTCTATGTTAAGTCGTTTCAAGTATCATGTCTTGAAACTTTTTCTAGCTTTACATGATTCATATTTCAATATAGAAGGTTTATGATATAACTGTTGAGTGGTTTGGTCAAATGTTGAAAAGTTTACATTAGATATCAATTATAATAACTATCCTTGAAATGTAAGAAGTGGGTTTGAGGTTTTTTTTTTTTTTTTTTTTGGTGTGGTTTGGGGGGGGGGGGGGGGGGTCTCAATCGTGACAGTATCAATGGGATGAAAAAATGCAACCAATACCATGAGCAAATCGTCAAAAATAAAACCAATTATTGTTTAAACCCTTCAGTCCTAAGTTAATCTAACATTTTCAAGAAATCTGAATAATTTCACCTGTTCTATTCATAGCAATCTTGAAAATATATAACAGATCTTATGAATTGAGATTATTGGCCTTATGGTCACAGCCAAAAACCAAGGATTTTCAAGGCATACTCAATTATCCAGCAAGTCTAAGATGTATACTACAAAAATTGCAAAGCAGCATGGATTTCAAATGATAAGGTTTTGTAAGTCGTAGCTTCCTAATTCATAAAAGAAGAACCTCCCACACTCTCCAAAGCAAGTAGGTGCATCTCCATTCAATCTTCAGCACTGTTAGTCGACCTAGATTGTACCTTCACATCAAACTGAGCATGAAATGCTTTCAGATGGTACTGGAGTTGAGGACTGTAATTAGGATGACATGACCACATCAGTTGGCTGCTCAAAGTTTGCAACATTCCTTTTCAATAGAAAAGGCCAAGCACCCATGTGTACATCTCCTACAGTTCTGATAGGATGTAAAGATAAGAATATGCAGTCTTTAAACATTTGTACATATTAACTATGCATTAGGTACATGTATATTTAAGGGGACGGAGAGTGACTGCAATAACATCCCAAAAAGTTGCCTGTAGAAACATATGCTGTTGATTTCCAATCTTATGAGGCTTTAATCCATCTATTGTTCTTATTGACTTACAGTCTCATCCAGAAATGTAGTGGACACATTTAGGTTCATAAATTGTAACTTAAGCAATGAGAATATCCATGATTCTTATCATTCTGTGCCATTCTTACATTCTATGTCGATAACTTACCCATTTCTCACCATTTTACAAGATTTGGATGTTTCTGTTTCCATGGAGGTCTGTCACATTTAACCATAGGCCCCCATTTGGAATGCAACCCTTTATTTTATCCTTAGCTAAATGCTGCGAAAATGAACATGTAATTTTACAGGATATGCTCCTAAAGCTCTATGGTACGCAATCTATTCTATGACATTCAGGACATGCTCCAACAGCATGTTTTTGGAGCTTAAATATGCAAATCTACTAGAGGACATACTCTGCTTTTGTGCATGTTGTGTTATTTTATAATGCAAATTCTCGTTTGAACTACTACTATACTTTTATGCAAATTTCTTCAGCTTCTTTTTTATCTCTTTTTTTTTTTTTTTGGATACCCCCTCCAATGAAGACACAACTGGAGGTTATATCCCTCCTTGATAAATTTCAACTTTAAGAGTAAATAAAGTTTTATTTTCCCCTATTTTTAGGAATTCATTAATAACCCAGTTCTGCAAATTGCATTCCCTGTCCTTTAGAAAATTTAACATAAAGTTGGTCGATACATAGGTTTTGTTGTTTGATTAAAAAGCTATGTTCAATTCTAAAACATTGAAATCTTAATTTACTAGTAACAGCTCCATTTCAACTTCCTATCTTCATTTCCCAGCATGTATTTACCAAATTTTCATTTCTGTCTAAAAGTGGAGAAGTTGTAGTTTGTCATTCTTAAGCGTTAAGCGGACATGCCTTAGCTTTTCTCTCTTTTTTTTTTTTAATTAAATCTTCTAGCACGGGAGGAGTGGGATTTATTTAAGAAGCGGGGAGGGAAGAAGGGGGATTTGAACCCAAGACCTCTTAAGGCATGGGGCACACTTACATGTTTTAGTTATGAATTCATTATGTATCCTATCTTGTAGTATTTGCGTACCATTCTTGTCTAAGAAAACATCTTATTTTATGTGTCTAGATTGCTTATCATCACTTCTTATGCTTACAAGAAGTAGTAGGAAATAGTATGAAGTCTAAATGAAGATGTAATCAGCGTGCCAGAACCTCATAACTGAACCTCCAAAAAAATACAATTTTGCTGGATTCTTGAGTTACAAAACAACAATTAATTTTTTGTATCATTTGCATTCTCAAATTAAATAAATAGGTCAACTTAAAATCCTGGAAATTGTTAGCAGTCCTCCGAATCTTAATACTAAGTGGTATGCCCAAAATGGGTACAATCCTTATCTACATTGCAAAATTCTAAAATTTTTGGATTATGTCCCATTTGGTTTGAGAAAATAATATTAATCTCTTCTCAAGCAAATTGGGGCAACAGGATATAAGTCCTTAGGGCTAGGTCGAAGGGGAAATAAGCCTTCCCATCTTGGAAATGAGAAAAAGAAAGGTAAACCATATATCCTGTGTTTATTCGTTTGTCAACAAATTTTTTTTTATTTTTTTAGTCAATAAACAAAATATTAGGATATCTAGAAGATTTCGGCAAGCGCTTCCACAGGAAAGAGAAAGGGAAGGAGGGAAGTTTAATTAGTCAATCGATCTAGCTTTGACACTTGAATGAGAAAGACTGAGAATTTTGTCCATTTGAAGCTGAACGGGATAGCTTGTAAAGGTTTCGCTCACTAGATAGGAATACCCAAGCCAAGGCAAATTCCTAAAATTTTTGGATTAAGTCCCATTTGGTTTGAGAAAATAGAATTGATCTCTTCTCATGCAAATGGGGGCAACAAGATATATGACCTTTTCCTAAACCAAGATAAGCACTATAAGATAATCCAATGAGGTAATAAAAACACTAAATAACTAACATAAATCCATATGGTACAACGACATACAGGACAAGCTCAATCCTTTATCCATGTTCATGCAGTCCATGTATAAAATATTCATTTTGTAAAGATTCAGAAGAAGCTGTAACTTACTGCCCAAGGCTTTAAAGAATGAATTTCATGTCTTTATTCCAAAAAGACTTGAATCCTATCACCCATCCTGTCTTTGAAATCTAGTAAAACTTTGCCACCTCCTCCATCAGCATCATCCAAGAGCGCTTTGATGTTGATACCCCCCAACGCTGTAGAAGTGGAAAGATTATTCTGAACTTCACTGAAGATATAAGTCATTAATTTCAATTATCTCCAACATATTAAAAACGTATACCTGGAACTATATTGGTTATTCCTTCCAAGAATCCAGCCTGAGGAAATGAGCTAGTCAAAATATATTTCTAAAACAGATTCTGATTTCAAGACAAGTCATGCCAGAAAACTAACAGTAGCTTGAATGAATGACATTTAAAGATTAGGTGATTACTCTATTGACTACATGTACTTGTTATTCATTCACATACGATGAACAGTACAAAATGAAAAAGAAAATTCTGAACAAACTAGAAAGAGGGATTGCATAAATTGGGCAGGTCCAATCATCAAGATCAACAAGAAGGAATCCCATTCTTGGCTTTAGAAAACATAGAAAGGGAAAAGAAATAGCTTGATTCACATCGAGAAAAGACTAGAAGCAGAGAACAAAGAGCATAATTCTAAATAACATATGCATAAACCATAAACCATTTTAGTCCACTTCAAGTGGCCAAAGATCAGGGCATTAATCTTTATTGTTTTATTGATTTGATTAGAAGTATGTTGAAGTCAAAATGCATGAACCAAAGCCTTACTGGAACTTGTGGATTTGGTGATCCATGTTTCATAGAAAATATTCTTGTATGCCCAGCTTACCTGACCAAGGATCATGATTTTGAACTCAGCTGTCTCTAGATTTAGTGATTTCACAAACAGAAATGAATTTGCAATTAACTCATTGAAGCTTTAAGATTGCAGATCTCATATATGTATGTCCACACACACACAAAAAAACACACATACATGTATATACAAGTACATAAATACATACATATATACACTTGATGGAAAAGATAAAAATAAAAGAAATCAAACAGCAATAAAAAAGAGGGTGGCTGAAAAAGTAATGAGAAGATTAAAAGAGGAAGAGGAAAAAAGTCCAGCTAACAACATGGAAGCAAAACTAAGCTGTGCTAAAAGTAGTGCAAATGGTGCACAAGTTGTGGACATTTCTCTCCGTCTCTCTCACACACAACAGAAACACATGACCTCACCTCCTGCAGAAGAACCTTCACAAACATTACAATATCCGTACATAGGCTCAAATTGAACCTACATATATCTACAAATTGAACCTATGTACCTGTGGAAGAACAACGCCCAGAAATTGAATCTATGTACCTGATATTGCAATGTCCATTGAGGTCCTTCCACAGGAGGTGACGCCATGAGTTTGTGTGGTGTGTGAGAGAGATAGAGAGAAACATCCACAACTTGTGCACCATTTCCATTACTTTTAGGGCTTAGTTTTGCACTACTTCTAATTTTCCTCTTCAATGTTCTCATTACATTTTGAGTCACCATCTTTGTTATTGCTGTTTGATTTCCCTGATCATTTATCTTTTCCATCAGGTTTATATATATGTGTGTGTGCACCAGTGTGTGTATCTGCGCACACACATATATATGTGGAGCACATAGGTACTTACCTACTTGCTGAAACATATCTAAGTAATGGTCATTAAGTAATTTAAAACATCTTCTCAAAGTGTTCTATTAGGGAATCTCTATTTTTTTGCATTTCAATTAGTAGTGAAGCCTTAGAATTCTTGAATAAGTGTTAATCTTAGTAAGCATAGCAAAAGGTCCTAGAGCCTATGTAAATAAGGTACTCTTCAAATTGTGATGCACTCTAAGCTTAATAATGACACCTAAAGATATCAATGAGCAATTTGAAGGGTTTAATTCGTCTCTTCTTTATCTTTCTAACTTCCTACATTTTTTTTCTAATTTTAGCCCGTAAATGTTGTTTAATTTCTACACCCTCGCTTCCAAAACCCTAAACTGTTGCCAAACAAGTTTATCAACTTCTTGCAATCTTTGAAGCTGGGTGCTGTAACACATACCGAATGACCTGATGAACAAATGTTTGTCTCGTCTCAATCCCGGCCGATCAAATGACCTGGAAACAGAATTCACATTCTTGTTGCATGAATAAGCCCCCTAGTAGATGACTGGATTTAGCAGTCCACTAATGTTGTAAAGACGGAACTTTCTGCATTTCAAATTATCTATTTTTCACTTTCATTTTGCAACAATCGTAGATTCATAATTCATAATTTATTCTATAATGTTTACGAGTATCTAAAAGCAAGTTATAATAATTGGGTTACCATTCCTTAGATTCTAAATGGATTGTTTCAGTTGTTAATCTGCAGGTCTTGAGCATTCAGCATCTACATTCTTTCATCATTGCACTGCATGGCACGAGTTTTGAAAATCATTCTCAAGTTTCAACAATTGATTCTCATAAGTTCTAAGCTGTGATTCAAGTCATTGTGAGCTTCAAGTTCCAATACCTAATATGAACTGTCTTAGCTAAGCGATTCTTGTAATTTAAATATTTATTTTATATCAAAATCATTTGACATGGAATCTTGTCCAATGCTTGTAGTACCATGATAGGCAGTCTAATTTTTGGTTGATATTGACCAGTTTTTCAAGACATCCAGAACTTCATGAACAGAAGAATTTGTTAGCATGCCAGGGAGTAAGACCTTCTAACCGTTGAGAATTGAAAGCACTACACTCTGGAATGTCCTCAAGTTTGCCTTCCTTAACATACAAGGAAAAATCTCTGATTCTGACTGTTCTAAAGAAGAAAGGTACGCTTAGCCAAATATTGTTCCTTCTATGTCGCAGTGTTAAAACCAAAAAATATTTGTTGTTTTCTCACACAATAAAACCTTCTCATAAAAGTATTTTAATGATATTTTCAGTGCAGCGGGTCGACACTCTCCTTATCAAGAAACCAGGGAATTTTAGCGTAGCCCCTACCACCTTTATCTGATATTACCGCAGGAAGAGTGCATTCAATTCATCCACACAGCCCACAAATCGTTGTTATACCAACCACTCGGGTGTTACTGTATTTATCCTCAGATAATGCTTCACCAGGTGCTTTAATATTCTTTGGAGGACTTGTCATAAAAGCCACAAGCATCACACATACAAATATTTATAGGCATTGTCCAGACCTAGATTAATTGCCTAGCACAATATTTGTTTGACAAGTGACTGAAATATGCATGATGGGATCATAGAACTAGTCAGAATTAAGTTTAAGTGCTGAATATTCTATTAAAATTCTGAGGAATGTAGAAAAAGTTTGGTTTAGCGAAATCTGAGGGAAGCTTGATACTATCTGTTGAAGATATGTAATCTGATATAATAGAAAGATTTTATATTTTAAATATTAGGAAAGATTAGATTTGATTGATTATAGTATCATGTGATTATAGTATCATATATTAATTAGGTAATAGTATGATTATAGTATCATATGATTATAGTATCCACTTGTGTATATATATTTATATATTATGTAGTCCAAAGAACTATGAAGAAGAGTATTTTCTCTCCCTTTTTCTTAGTTTACATGGTATCAGGGTTTCAGGCTCTATTATCAGTTTGTCTTTTGACGTGACCCTAGTGAGTCACTTTTAGATTTTTTTTGTGTGAATCTCTGTTATCAGTTTGTCTTTTGACGTGACCCTATTGAGTCACTTTTAGGTCTTTCTTGTATGAATTATAATGGCAGATATGAAAGGTAGTAGTAAAGAGATGAAAACAGTAATTTCTAATGTTATTCCTACAACATCAAAAATTACTGAATATAAATTGAGTGGAAAAAATTTTTTGGATTGGAGTAAAACTATTCGAATATATCTGCGCAGCATCGATAGAGATGATCATCTCACTGATGACTCACCCGTTGATGGGGGAAGAAAAGAAGGTTTGGCTAAGGGAAGATGCAAAACTATTTTTGCAGATCTGAAACTCTATTGATAATAAGATAGTCAGTCTCATCAATCATTGTGAGTTTGTTAAAGATCTCATATGAATTATTTGCCTTTCTTGTATTCTGGTAAGGGTAATTTAAATCATATATATGATGTTTGCAAGGAATTTTACCGTCCCGAAAAACAGCAAAGATCTCTTACAAAATATTTTATGGATTTTAAATGTGTATGAGGAATTGAATTCTCTCCTTCCTTTTAGTACTGATGTAAAAACTCAACAGTCTCAACGGGAACAAATGACTGTAATGAGTTTTCTTTCAGGATTACCAATTGAGTTTGATGCTGCTCGAACACAAATTCTCTCTAGCCCACAGATTGTTTCCCTCCATGAAACTTTCACACGAGTGTTGAGAACCGAGGGATCTTTGTCTACTTCCAATCTTACTAGTACTCTCGCGAGTCGAAGTGAAGCTGGTCATAATGGTAGAAACAGTGGCAAACAAGGGACTGGTGGGATTGCTGGTCAAGAACAATACAACTCAAATCAGCGAGTCTGTTATCACTGTAAGAAATCAGGTCATACCATGCGTACGTGTTGGGACCTTCATGGTAGACCTCAACAGCAGCCCTCGTTTGCAAATTTCGCATCCCATGAAAAAAATTATGTGCCGTCTGACAAATCCATACTCATCTCTGTTGATGAGTTTGCCCGCTTTACTGAGTTTCAGGCCTCACAAAAATCTGCTAACCTATCTTCTAGTACCAATTCTCCTTCTATTGACCACTCAAGTAAACCTACTACATGCCTTGTGTCATCTTCTAACAAATGGGTCATCGATTCCGGTGCAACAGATCATATGACCGGTAATAAAGGTATCCTCTCCTCTTTTAATCCTAACAAAGATCATTCGACTGTTACTTTGGCTGATGGATCATGTGCGTCAGTTGTGGGTTCTGATATAGCAATTGCTGTGTCATCTATCCCCCTATATTCAGTCTTATGCTTACCTAATTTTTCGTTTAATCTACTCTTAATCAGTAAAATTACAAAAGCTCTCAAGTGCTCTGTCTCATTCTTTCTTGAATATTGTGTTTTTCAGGATCTTATGACAGGGAAGATTATTGGTAAAGGACGCGAGTCTGGCGGTCTGTATACACTTGAAACCCCTTCATCAAAAGTGCCAAAACCTGTTGCATGTTCCTCCACCTTGACTCCGCTTGAAATTCACTGTCGTTTGGATCATCCATCTCTACCCATTTTGAAAAAATTGTGTCCAAATTTTTAGAATTTATCCCATTTAGATTGTGAGTCATGCCAGTTTGCCAAGCATCATCATTTACCTTACTTGCCTAGAGCCAATAAACGGGCTTCATCCCCCTTTGAATTAGTGCACTCTGATATATGGGGCACTTGTCTAATAGTATCTAAGTTTGATTTTAAGTATTTTGTCACATTTGTTGATGACAATTCTCGTGTTACTTGGTTATATTTAATGAGAAGTCGTTCAGATTTATTTAATATCTTTTGTTCCTTTTGTTCTGAAATAAAAACACAATTTAATATGTCTGTCCGCATTTTGCGAAGTGATAATGCAAAAGAGTACTTTTCTAAACCTTTTAATTCATATATGTCAAAAAATGGAATCCTTCACCAATCTTCATGTCCTGACACACCACCACAAAATGGTGTTGCTGAAAGGAAAAATAGGCACTTATTAGAAATTGCTAGAGCCCTTCTATTTCACATGAAGGTTCCTAAGCAATTTTGGGCAGATGCGGTTTCAACAGCCTGTTTTTTAATTAATCGCATGCCATCTTCTGTGCTTGCTGGTGAGATTCCTTATTCAATTTTGTTTTCAACCCAATCTTTATTCCCCATTGAGCCACGCATATTTGGGTGTACTTGTTTTGCTCGTGATACCCGTTCTCAGGTGTCTAAATTAGATCCCAAATCGCTCAAGTGTGTGTTTTTGGGTTATTCACGTCTTCAAAAAGGGTATAGATGTTATTCTCCAAGTTTAGATCGTTATTTAGTCTCTGCTGATGTTACATTTTTTGAGATGCATCCATTTTTTCTTGAGTCTAATATCTACAGTAGTCGGGGGGAGGGAGATGATTTTCTAGTTTACATTGTTACAACAATTGTTCCTACAAAACCACCGATCATTCAAATGTATTCTCGTCGTCCTCAACACAGACTCACATCCTCCACCACCTTCTCTGTCTACAGATCCGAGTCCTGATCCACCGCTTCTTCAGTCTCTAGATTCCAGTCTTGATTTGCCTATTGCTTTAAGAAAAGGTAAAAGACAGTGCACTTACCCAGTTTCATCATTTGCTTCATTTGTCTCCCTCCTTGCATTGTTTTACTGCTTCCTTAGATTCAATATCTCTTCCTCAACCCTTATCTGAGACTTTGAAACATCCTAGTTGGCGGGCTGCTATGGAGGAAGAAATGATGGCCCTAGATAATAATGGTACCTGGGATTTGGTTCATCTACCAACAGGTAAGAAACCTATTGGTTGTAAATGGGTATTTGTTGTAAAAGTCAATCCTGATGTTCTGTTGCTCGCCTCACAGCTCGTCTTGTTGCAAAAGGGTATGCTCAGACATATGGAGTGGATTACTCAAACACGTTTTCTCCCGTAGCAAAACTCACCTCTGTTCGATTATTTATTTCCCTTGCTGCTACTAATAATTGGCCTTTGTACCAGTTAGATGTTAAGAATGCATTCCTTCATGGGGATTTGCAAGAGAAAGTTTATATGGAGCAACCACCTGGATTTGTTGCTCAGGGGGAGTCTGGTAAGGTTTGTAGACTCCGAAAGTCACTATATAGTTTAAAACAGAGTCCTCGTGCTTGGTTTGGGAGATTCAGTGAGGTGGTTCAAGAGTTTGGCATGAAGAAGTGTAATTCTGATCATTCTGTCTTTTATCAACAATCTGAAGTTAGTATTATCCTATTAGTGGTATATGTTGATGATATTATTATTACTAGTAGTAACAATGCAGGTATTGCAGCTCTTAAAGATTTTCTTCAATCGCACTTCCAGACAAAAGATTGGGGTATGTTGAAATACTTTTTAGGCATTGAGGTTACAAGATGTAAACAAGGTATCTTCTTATGCCAAAGGAAATATGTTCTTGATCTTTTGAAAGCAACGGGAAAGCTAGGTGCTAAGCCATGCAGTGCACCAATGATCCCCAACATGCAACTTACAGCAGATGATGGGAAGTTATTTTCAGATCCTAAAATGTACCCGAGATTAGTGGGGAAGTTGAATTATCTTACTGTGACTCGTCCGGATATTGCATATCCGGTTAGTATTGTGAGTCAATTTATGTCCTCACCAAGAACCACCCATTGGGCAGTTTTAAAGCAAATCTTATGTTATCTTAAAGGAACTCCAGGATGTGGTATACTATATGATAATCATGGTCATTCTCATGTTGAATGCTTCTCAGATGCGGATTGGGCAGGTTCTAAAATTGATCGAAAATCTACAACTCGATATTGTGTCTTCGTTGGAGGTACTTTGGTATCGTGGAGAAGTAAGAAACAAAGTGTAGTATCTCGCTCTAGTGCAGAGTCCGAATACCGATCTATGGCACAATCCACTTATGAGCTTGTATGGATACATCAATTATTGTGTGAGGTGAGAATCAATAATTCACTTCCAATGAAATTATGGTGTGACAATCAAGCTGCCCTTCATATAGCATCAAATCCAGTTTTTTATGAGAGAACAAAGCATATTGAAGTTGATTGCCACTTTGTTCGTGAAAAAATTCAGCAAAACCTGATCTCAACCAGTCATGTGAGAACTGGAGAACAGTTAGCTGATATTTTCACTAAACCTCTAAATGATCCGAGAATTGATTACATTTGTGGCAAGATGGGCATGATTAACATCTATGCTCCATCTTGAGGGGGAGTGTTGAAGATATATAATCTGATATTATGGAAAGATTTGATATTGTAAATATTAGGAAAGATTAGATTTGATTGATTATAGTATCATGTGATTATAGTATCGTATATTAATTAGGTAATAGTATGATTATAGTATCATATGATTAGAGTATCCATTTGTGTATATATATTTGTATATTGTGTAGTCCAAAGAAATATGAAGAAGAGTATTTTCTCTCCCTTTTTCTTAGTTTACACTATCTTTAATGGCTTTTTTTTTCTCCAGCTAGGAATTAATATATGAGAGAACATATAACTGAACCATGGCACACTGCCCATGGGCCTTGCTTGCAGTAAGGCAACAAAGTTCTGCCTAAGAGAAGTGGAAATCTGAAATATAGCAAGCTTGCCTCGCTGCAAAACTAACAAAACTACATTGCCAGTAAGCTCAATCTTGAAAAGTAGAACTATAGCAGAAATCAAGCTCCAGATTTATGTTTATTGTTAATGTTGATAGTGATAGGCGTCTAGGAGCCAACGATGTGGGAACTTCCTCTCCTTGGCTGGTTCTATATTAACATGCTTGGATAGAAGAATGAATCATGTGCGTAGTTAATCTCTAGCTAGATCTCATGAGATGCACTCCTGTAAGATGTAAGATCCACTCGACAATCATTCTTATGGATTATGAGAGCTTGGACTCAACCTCAGGCCAAGCATGATTGGAAACAAAGAACTGGAAGTTGGAATACCTCATTTTATTTAATCACAAGATCAAGTAAGATAACTAGAATCGAGATTTTGTTTCCCACGGCAGCAAGAAAAGCTTAGCTTGTCAAAAATTAAACAAGAAGACAAAGGAAACAGGAAAATGAGAGAGGAAGAAACATAGGAGAAGAAAATGCAGCAATGCAGATACAGAGGCAAGACGTGTGTTATGATAATTATGCATTAGCAAATACTTACTGTTACAAATACTCTTCGCATGTTCTAAATGACTTTGACAAGTGACCTAGAATTTGTTCAAAGACGGAATTTATACCATGCTGCAAATTGTCATACATTCAATTGCTTTCCTACGCACATCCAGAAGCATGTTTACGTGTAGGTGATTATCAACAAGCTACACAGTCCAATCAATTAAGATATTTGAGATAAATATCGATATACTACCATTTTAATTGCATTCCCTTCCTTATTCATAATTTCTTTTATTTTCACCAACACAAAATAAGTTAAACAAAGATATGGTATAGTCATTAAATCATTAACAAGATCACTTACAGGAATTTGGATATCAAGCTTCTCAAACCCATCACGTCCAGTAATTTTAACTCTCAACTTTATTGACCAGATCCCTGAAAATGGACCGCTAGAATTATCTGCAGCATATTTATTATACACTTCAGGAGTGAATACTTCAACCACAGGATCTTGTACACTTTGATTTTTCTGGTCTTTATCACCTTCAGAAATTTGTTGAGTACTGTATGTATCGCTGCTTGCCGAAGAATAACCTATATCACCAAAAATTGATAAGTGAATTGTGCTCAGACTAACTGTTCCAAAAGTACGACAACAAGAAAGTCATACATCAAGCTGCACATCTCAAAAACAAGACGCAAACCAGTGTTTGGAAATTCTAGAGACTTCAAGTGGGCTCTACTAAAACATATTGACTTCAAACTGGTATTGTTTCCAAACAACCTATAGGATAGAAAATTTAATTATATGCCAATCCACAGTCAAGACAATATTTTTTCTCTTTTGCTGGGTCCAAAAACCTAAACATTTTATTACTCACTGCCAATTTAGCTTCTACAAACATGACAAGAACAAAAACCTAAAAAGAAGTTGATATTCTACTGGAAGAACAGCTTTTCTTTAGAAAACCTATCCAGGCCAAGTATACCTGAAAAAGTCACAATTACATCAAGAAATGACTCTCTATGAAAAGCATAATGATTCTGGCTTGAATTTCTCTATTCAATTTTCACCCACCGCTTTGTGAAGTAAGTTGAGAAATGTTGGTTGCATAACGTTTCTCTTCTTCATAGTACTTGTTAAACCCTAGTATGTCCTTAATTTCTTCGAAGGACGGCATACTTCCAGGAGATGGCATCCGTCCTCCTTTAATAGCTGTGAGGGCATCCTGCAAATATTTCAGGGTAACTACACACCATCATTTATGATCAATGAGTAAATGCAAAATTAAGAAATAACAGTAGGATTCTAGAGTAAAATTCAGCCAGATTGAGAAATTGGAACCTAATCACACAAGGATTAAATCAGCCAGGCCAGCCAATATATGCCAAAAAATTGCATTGCGTGACTGAAATCCAATTTACACCTTACTGTGTGCAGCAGCCAAACTAGATAAATCAAGTACGATGCATCTGAAATATTTTATAGTTAAATAAAGAAAATTCATGGATGCTTTATCACACCATCATTCAAAATGGACGAGTGTAGGCATTTTTTTATGCATCCGGAAAAGAAGTTTTCAACAACCTCTAAAACTTGTATGACATTTTAAAGTTGTTGACCACTGATGCATTAAGAATGCATGACACTATCAAACGCATTTTCTACTAATCATATGCGTAAGTAGAGATATGATTGTAAACCTATCTAGAGACAAGAATTTTTGTCCATAAGATAGACATGCCAAGGTACACAGGGATCACTTGGAAATTAGTTCAGAAAAGATATGTACATAAAATTACGAAGCACAGAAAAAAGTCTGAAATGTTGAGCTTATGTTGGAAATTCAACTCTCTATCTTTTATTTGTCATGACCAACATGGAGTATGTGTAAATGCCTTATTAATGTATATGCACCACTGACTTTGGAAACATCAGAAGTTATATACGAACTTTATTTAAACCCAATGCTGAACATTCTCAGCATTTTGAATGTATTTACCAACTTGCATCTGAAGTATTAACTTCAAAAAAAAAGGTAAACAATAGTTTCTAAAGTTTTGCTCTTTCAATTATACCAAAATGTTCTCTTTTGTATGTTTTATTGGTAAACTAGAATTATCTAGATCAAGATTTGTGAACACATCAAGTTTTTGTAAACATCCCTTGTAGAATTAGATGTGGGGGATTTGACCTGGGAGGAGAGGAGTACTAATTTTAGATATCCAACTTAAAGATGTCCATCCTAAAGTATCCAACAGTATTGAAGAAACATAGCCTTCAAATGGTGTACATTTTCTCGTTTGCTTCAAATTTTCTAATACCTTTCCCTTTCTGTTCCGTCCACATAGTTACATGAAAAGTTCCATGGTGATTGTTCTCTTTCTAAAGAGATACAGATGTTAAACTACTCTTCATGTTGCTGGCATAGTGCCAAATCAAAGCACTCCATATATTGGCACTAGCAGAGCCATCTCAACCATGGAACATAATATTCAAGTTCAGATAATAGATTTGAAGTCCTCTTGCCATCAAGGGAAAAGAGTATCCAGCTGACATTTTACTTAAACAAGAAAGACAAACAGCATGTCCCCAAAACTTTGAATTTAAGTGCCAAATGACAGAAGTGCGCATTCTTTATCAATTTCTTTATGTTATAGTTCTTTCACTTGACCAGCAGAACAATAAATTCTGAGTTCCCAGTGATTAGAAAGAGTCTTCAGCAGCAGTTAACATGCAGATCTCTCAGCAATATAAGCATAACATCATAATCTTCGATTTTTTGCCTCTTTGAATGCCTTTCTAAACCATATGTTTCCATCATGCTTGTACTTTCATTCTGATTATCCACTCTAAGCCTACCTTTAGAAGGCCACAGGAAACACAGAAAAGCAATTTTAGTTGTGTCAACTTCTGAACTAAAACTGTTGCTTCTTTTGCTTCCTTTCTTCTTGGTTTTTTGTGGTGATGATAAACTAAGAATGAAGAAATTAACTGAAATGCAATTACCATACATTGTCCATGTTCGCAGAGCTCATACTACAGAACATACTAAGATCTGAGTTTACTCATAGCCGATGTGCTTCTTTATGTTTGATATTTGTCAGACTGACAATCTTTGGATAATAAAAACCAAAGAGAAAAGCAAACAGGCAGGGAAAAGAAAAAGTTAATGGACGAAATATCACCATCATATCAGAATTCATGATTCAACAGTTGAACTTATATCTGAAGAAATTTTTTTTACCAGAAAGATATTAATAGTTAAATTTGTTCTTTCAACTAAGCAAAAAGAAAACATCTGGATACCTTACCTGCATCGCACGAATAGATACTCCCATCAAGGAAAGTGGATATACCACAAGCTTGTATCCAATTTCCTCGAGTTCCATAGGACTGAGAATTGGTGTCTTCCCTCCTCCTTCAAGCATATTGGCCTGGAATTCAATAGGTTTGTCAATGTATATATTTGGTACAGGTGCACTGGATTACGTTGCCCCCAAGTAACGGGCAACAATGTCATGTCTGTCAAATTTCTACTGATTTTTTAAATTAGAAAAGAGAGATGGCAAACCAATGTTGTAGCTGATAAAGTATTGTTTAGGGTTTAGGGTTTAGGATGGCTACTACAAAGATGGCAAACGGTGAATACTTGAAAGCAATGAGGTTGGAAAATTATCAAACTAATTAGAAAATAAGTTAAGGTTAATCAACCTCATGGTAGAGCACAATATAAGAAAGAAAAACTAGAGATAGCTGTTTGTTAATAATCTTAGGAATAAGGAAATGTGTAGTCGCTCATCATGACTTGTTCCCCCATGCTCAAATATCATAGACAGAAAAACAGCAACCACCAAAATATATGCAAAGCCAAACCCTTGGAAGAGTCACTCAAATAATAAATGATGTACCATTTTGGGGACAAGTGGATAAACTTCACAAAGGGCCTTCATTTCTTCTTTTGATTCAAGTGCATCAATAAATAGAACATCAGCTCCAGCATCAGCCAGAGAACGTGATCTCCAAAGTGACTCTTCTACAGACACTGCCTGTCGGGAATCAGTTCGTGCAACTATGACAATATCAGAGCCACTTTCTTTTCTAGCATCAACGGCAGCTTTTATCCTCATGACTGCTTCCTCTCTTGACACAACTTTCCTGCCACGGGTATGGCCACAAGCTTTTGGAGAGACCTTTCCAAGACAGTATTACCAATAGGAAAAGTTTAATACTAACCAGGCCACCGGGTCTTGCAACAAGAACAACCAACACAGGTAACTAAATATAAATTCAATTTTATTCTGAAAAAGGTATAAAAGTTTTAAAATCACCTAAAGCAGAAGACGCAAAGATACTCAGTTGTAATTCTCTTTGCATATGACAAAGGATGACCAGCAAACACATACTCATACACGTGCTCTTTTTTTATACCTTTTCAAATCCAAATACATACTTCACATTTTGGTTTCTTGACCAACCAAGTATCCTACCACCATATTTTAAGATTTAGAGTATCATATTGCCATTCCATTAGACAAAATCAGGCATGTTTGCCCTCCAAATCCCATGAAAAGTGCTATCATTGAATTTAAGCTATTTGATTTTCTGCAAAAATAACTCTAATATGTATTCTTCAAATATTAATGATGAAAAACTTAGCTGTAAAATTCTTGTTTTCATGATTAGGATGCTCCAGACAGAATTCATTTTCCTCTAATATCTTATTATTGTATTTCTTAACTTGAGACTAAGATGTATCTTTCTAAATCTCAACTATGTTATGCATTTTGCAGTAAACGAAACGATGAACATTATTAGATTGGTCTTTTGGCCTCAAGATATAGAATTTGAACAACTTGGTACATGCAAGTTTGCAAGATGTTGAATTCAACTTAGCTAGCTATGAACCTTTGAGGTGCATTATTAATATAGGAGATAGCAAACTTGAATTCCCAGTTTTTTTTTCGTCTTTCTCAAAAAGAACAATTAAGGATGGAGGAACATGAAACCATCTACTTTCCCTCATGTCTAAACAATCATACATGAAAATAGTGAACACAAGGTGAGGTTTTGGGACATTAAACGAAGTGAATTTGTTCTGACAACACAGTCAACCATCAAAATGCCCTTCATTGAATTATCCTACTTCATGAACTTTACTGATAACTACCCCCATTCTGGTGCCTGACTATTAATAGAAGTCCCTTCTATCAAATCCATCAACCTTACCAGATGGAATTATTTAGTCATTTGTTAGGATGACTACTAAATAGAGTAAAGTGATTCACATTGCTCAAGAAAAACCTTAAAATCTTCCCGTACCTATTTTTGCTTCATAAAAGATAATTATTTCAACTTATGTGTCCAAAATTGATATGGTTATTGCTAACTCATCCCCAAGCATATGTTATCTTTGTTTGACATTTGTCTCATCAGAACAAATACTAGTAGAAATCTGAAACAAACAAGATATACATGTCTAGTAACACAGATTTGATGAGAAAAGCAATGAAAATGAAATTCACAAAAGCTGAATTCAACCATGTTGAATTAAAAAGGAGAGTATCCAATAGTGCAAACCTGATCTTCAAGAATAACTCCAGCAAATCCTGCTCTTATATATCCCTTCACAGTTCTTTTGACATTGATGGCATTACCATATCCGTTATCACCATCCCCAATGATGGGTATTGATACAGCTTGTGTAATTTGCTCTCCTTGATCCACCATTTCCCCATAGGAAACTAGTCCTGTGTCTGGCAGCGCCAACCGAGCAGCCGATATTCCAAAACCTTTCAAAAGCATGAACTCAATTAGTACCTTTACTATCTAAGAGAGTAGAGTAAGCTGAAGTGGAATAGGATTACTATCATGATCTATTGAGCATAGAAAAGGCTTTAGATGAGACAACTTAGAACTCAATCTCAGTGAAAGTAAACAATATGCTTCCACTCTGCAACGAAAAATGCCATAAATTGCTTCCAAAAGGTCAAAAGAGATATATATATATATATGCAGTAGGAGTTCAAAAACTTCTAGGAAACAAGATGTATTACTTAGTTCCAAATATGGAGTTTCAGCAAGCACACTTGCTTCTTTCCTTCCATTTTTTCCACATTAAGCATATTGGAGCAATTTCCAAGTTCTAGCTCCATCCTCCCTAAAGTGCATACAGCAGCTACAAAATTTTATCCAATCTGGTAGGGCCATACCTACTGAATACCAAGAACTGCAGGTTAAGGGAGGATCACAATTCTCATGGAACTTTGAAAGGAAGCCAAACAGGCTTAACACCTTTTCCTTGCTTTACAAGTGCATAACCAAATTGCATGCATTTGCCTCATTTTCATAGAAATTTTGTAGTTAGAACAGTTTTTCAGGCAGCATTTTACATGGAAAACAGAAAAGAACAAGACACTTATACTAGATCCTGGATTGTCCAATGGACCTTCTATGTAGGGCCACAACTTTTCCGTCTATTAGACATCTACCAAAAACTTGAAGTCTCACAATTCCTGAGTCTAATTATTAAAAATCCCAACCAAGTCTTGTTACTGCCCCTGTCAGTTTGCATCATTTCATCCTTGATGCTAACTGCAGCACCTAGAGCACCAAGCTAAAATATTGCATGTCGCAATGTCTCACTTCCACTTGACTCAATGGTCTCCCCTGAAAACTGGAATTGCAAGTAACAATTTCAAGGACTCGAGAAAATTTCATTTCAAAAAAATTCTCCAACTACCAAATCTTAAATCCAAAGAAAATTGGTTCACCATTTCCCATTCTCCCTTTCTATTCAATTGGTACAACTTTCCAATGCCAAGTTTATTATCAACTTCACTACGTTTCTGGCAACACATGGTTGGTTCTCCAAGGATAATATTACCATATTGCTCAAAGAAAATAAATGAAAAATACACACAAAACAATAACATTCAACTGACCACATAAATTAGAAGCAAAAAAATTTTGAAACTACAAAATCACTCTTATGGCGAGGGATTTAAAAATAACATAAATCTAGCCCTTTTCTTACAAGCAGTTGTTGTGAGAAAATGAAGAAAGCTGAGATTCGAAAAAATGAACTTTTTGATTCTATTTTCCACAAAGAATAATACAATATGACAAAAAACACTAGTGGGACCAAAACCAAAGTATAAACCTCTGGATGTATTCAGGTAGATGACCTTACAGCCTTTTGTACATTCGAGAAGCCTCAAACCTTAGTATTCCATATAATCAGACCCAACTCCCATTGTTCCAATGGATAAATGGACTTAGAAGTTGCTCTGATCGCATTAACCAGAATCTCGGTACAATTACTTACTATTGAATGCAAAGCAACCTTAGCAAATAGGGGGCATTGTGCATTAATCACATAACAAGGATCTCACCTGGTGCCTGCAAAGTTACATTGCCACCACCTATTAGACCTTTTCCAGCTAATAAACAGATCTGTACAATTTCACAGCATATTCTAATTGGTTATTCAATCGCCACATGTGCAAGCATAGTTCTTGATTTACAAATTTTGCACAAACATCACCATCTATGTGAAGCTTATTGAGATGAAGAAAACCTACAAGAGGTAACTGTAACCTTCGGCAGTTGCACACTAGGCTATAGAAGTTGTACCTTGTCTAAAATTCGGTAGAAAGCACAAGAAATTAAGACAAACGGGCATTCACACGAATAAATTCAAACAAACAGGATAAAATGATTAAAAAAAGGGGCTGAACAATCTATTAATAAGTCAAAAATTAAAAGAATTTGATTGTGATGGGTTGGGAACCACATACCAGTAGTGAAGCAGAAATCAAAGCCAGCTTGCTCCACCAGCTTAGCACTCAGAGCATCGAAACAAGCCGGGCCCAGATGAATCCCCGGGGAGCCCAGAAGTTTCCTGAGCTTTTCGGCTTGATAAGAAGAAGAAGGGGGGGAAGGAGTAGCATCAACATTGTCATCATAGCTAGCTGAGACAGACATGGAACTGTGGAAATTCTTCGAATTAATTCTTGCATTTTTATTGATTGAAGCTGAATTGATGATTTTCCTGTGATTGATTCCAGAGGCCAAGAAAAGTAGCCGTTGTAGGTGCGAGGGTGAAGAGATGTTGCTCAAGCCCATCTTCATGCTTATGGCTGCCTGCATTTGCATCGATGTGTTTGCTTGACTGATTGTGGAAACGGAGGAGCGAGAGTCTAAATGTATATTTATAGAGGCGGGACTATTTACATTTTCGTCCTAACAATTTTGGCAGAATTGTCATAAGGCCCCGTTATATTTGGCAAATTAAGTATTTCGCGGAATAATAAAAATATCTCTATTCACAAGTTGATTAAAACATAGGGGAAAAAAAAAAAAGAAAACAAGTTATTAAAGCATACAAAAAAAAAAAAAAAAAAAAAAAAGAGTGGGGGAGAAAGAACTAACAAATAAAAGGGGCATTTTCATTCCCAGAGTTTCAGCCATGTATGTTTTTAATTTATAGCCGGTGACTTGCTCTTTGATTTGTAGGGTCATATGATTTGCATATGTATTTTTCTTTCAACTTTCATCTATAAACACAAAATGAACAAAATTTCAATTAAGTTGTTTGAAACCCATTGCACTTGCTAATTGTGGCACAATAGTCAGGATGAAAGAAAATATGTAAAGGAATGATCAAGAATAATCTTAAAAGATAGGATTCAAGAAAAACTTTACAGTTTTACCGGCATGATATATGTAAATTTGAAGTTCGACTTCATACTTTTTATCCAAGTTCAAGTGTTTCTTATGTGGTAATGTTATAAAATGAATTGATGAATTCGCAATTCTATTTTATTAGTTTGAATCAGAGAACAAATGATTAGTGAATAGTTTGAACTCAAGAAAGAAGAATGCCTTATTAATAATCTTCGATCATTCAATACTTTTGATTAGGTAAGATAAGAGAAAAGCAGAATTTTCTTGACCTCAAAATATTAATAATAGAAACTTTTTGACTTCAAAACAATAAAAATGGTGTTTGGGTAGTATAGACTAAAATAAAGATATTCAACAATTGCATTTCATTAGTTACACCTCGCAATAAGCTTCTTCTCATTTTTTGTGGGAAGAAATATTGTATTTGATGGTTGTATAAAGATTATTTGAGGTTGAGTTGTAAGATGAACTTTAGTACAATATTCTTCTGTGTAGGTCAAGAATATGGCGAGACTGAGAAAGTAGTGGCAAAGAATTTGAAATATTTTTAAAAGACCAATACAATGCCTGCTATCATCATCTAATGAAAGTGGAGGTGAACCACATAACAGCAGCAAGTGATGAAAAAATGGTGCAACCCAAATATCTAGTACTGATCATAAGGGATGGATGGAATAAGAGTAAAATGCAGTTCTAGTATATAAACTTAGACCCTTAAATGATTTTGGTGTTCAAATTTTGGATGAAAGCAAATTTGATATCCAATGTTACAATATTTAAACAAATTGGCATCCTTGATGGGTGTTTTCAAAATATAAACATGAAATCCTTTTTTTTTAGTATTTCATTGTAGGGCACGTGACAACATATAATTTTTCAATAGTAATTTGAAAAAAAAAAAATCCATCAAGGGTACCAAGTATATTTAATTATTATAACGTTAGGATACCAAATTTACTTTTGTTAAAAGTTCAAGTACTATAATCATTCAAGTGTCAAAATTTAGGTTCTAAAACTGCATTTTACTCCTAGAAATAATGTAATCAAATAAATGTGGTAAAAAAGAGATAGACTTTGTCAATGTTTCCAGTGGTGTGTCAAATCATCTGAAGAAATATTTAAATTGAATATGAATCTTAATCAATTCTACTATCTAACATCATAAGCTGTGGGTAGTCCCCATACATGTTGGTGGATAATATGATGAGGAAATGTTGGTATTCCATGGTACCAATTAAATCCAATTTTTCAATACGAGAAAGATAACCCTAGTCAAAGCCTTGATATGATTTAAGTTTGAACGAAAATTCTAAGGATTGGTATAGTGGTTTGTACCAATGCATCGGTAAAGTGGTGTAAAAAGGTGTGGATGAAAAGGGGACGAGACACGTTAGCACAAGCAAAATTGAAGGTTGTTTTTGGTCTGGCAAAGGCAACCGAAATTGGAAGTGACAGTGGTTCCACACTGAAAAGACAAGATTGTTTGTCAGTGGAGGGGAACCCTTGTGAAGGATCAGAAGAAGACTTATTTCGTCAGTTATTTTGCTAGTCCGAGGAACAATGTGACGTAAAAATTGGCTAGCATCATACGAGGTATAAAATCTTATCTGGCAAGAGAATTAATGAGGGACATTAATCTGTACAATTACTTTTACCAACCAATGTAGGGTGGAAATTAATGGTTAAGGTAATAAATCAAGATGGATGGATCAGCATGAAATAATTGTAAAAAGAGCAAACAACTGAGCAAAAGTCTTGTGAATAGTGGAGAGACTGCATCCGGGAGGAAAAAGACGCAAGTAGATATAGGTGAAGGGACAGCTGGTCTGTGGATAAGGTAATATGTTTGGTAACAATGATCAGTTAGTGGATATAGTTTTGAAATATTCATTTTGTGATCGAGGAAAAAATTGAAATGTGGAATAAATTTGCTTATGCATTATTGTTTGTAGCTGGTTTAGATCAAAAGAAAGAACAGTTTGATTGTAGGCAGGAAAAAATCAAAATATGTAAAAGAATATGCTTTTAGATTATAATTTGTAGTTTTTTTTTGAAGATGAAATAAAGAGCTGTTTGAATATATGTTGTATTTTTGTTTATGAATGGGAACTCTTTTCATGAATCAAGAATCATAAAGTAGGATGTAATTAGTTTATATATGACATAAAATAGGTAAGAGCAATTTAAAATATTTGTTAATATTGTTTTCTAATTTATGAATAATAGAGTGGTAGAATTGCGAATATAGAAGAAATAACAAATATTGTTTTTAGATTGATTGTGTAGTTGTAGAAAGTAGAAAAAAAGAAACCGTTTCGTAGAGGCAAAATATTGTATAAGGTAAATATTAGATGAATTGAATCTATTTGAGCACGATTATTTAATCAATGTTTGTATAGGTTGGATAAGAAAATGCTAAATACAACTGAAATATTTAATAAAATTAGGCACAAATGTACTGATTCATATGGAAAACCTTATGGAATATTGTAGTTGGATAGCTCGAATCGATTATGGACCGACTAATTTCAGATTAAGTGAAATGTTGGGATCATTAATGAATTTCCACTAAAATACAAATTTTGAAGATTAAATATAATTTTGTACCTGTTGTAATTGAAGAATTAGAATAAAATTGTTAGTAAAGTTTGTTGTTATATTAGTTGAATCAAAAATTATTGACCATGTTGCTTGGTTCAATTGAAAATTGAGTACCGGCCTGATTTGTAGGCAAAAATAATATGGCACTGTGAAAAATATTGTCGTAATAGGAAAGGCAATTAGTGCACGTTAATTGAGTGAACAATAGACATAATGAAGAAAATACAAAGTTAGATACATAACTGAAAAGAAGTTAGAAAAAATAAATAAATTGACATCAAAGTAGATAATTTAAATATTTTGAAAGAAATTTCGGACTAGATAATATAAAATTAGGTAGTCGTAGTACAATTACATGGACAACAAAAAATAAATAATATATGTATATGCAAAATTAGATTAATTTAATTACGTAAAATGACATAAGAGCAGAAATTTCCAGCCTAGATAATATAAAATAAGATAGTCGTAGTAAAATTTGGATAAATTAACTATAAATAATTATATTGTGTTCATTGACAATCGTAGATGGATCGAGAGAAAGGAAAAAATGCAATAATAAATTTGAACAAAGAGAACGAGGATTGCGAGTCATTTAGCTCAAGTGAAAAAGAATCCATTTCCTTAGAAAAGATAGAAAAAGATTATCTTGTTGATGATATGGATGAAGAAGTGATGAATATGGTATTTGACAGCGAGGAAAATGCATATGAGTTCTACAATTTATATGGCAAACTTACTGGTTTTGGCATCAAGAAGGCAGATGTTAAAATTAACCAAGATGGAACTACACGGTATAGAAAATTCGCATGTTCTAGGGAAGGAAAAAGGCACGCGAGATATTACAATCTAGCACAGAGGATTAGGCAACCCAAGCCGGAGACAAGGACCTGATGTCTTGCATGTCTGTGCATCAGACATGACAAAGCCTCTGAAAAATATGTGGTGACGAATTTCCTGAAAGAACACAATCATAAAATGGCTTCCAAGTCTAGCATTCCATATCTATGGTCTCATCGACACATATCAGATGCCGATTATGCTCAAGTACGAACAATGAAAATAACAGGGATGAAAACAAGTCAGGTTATGAAATTTTTTGCAATGCAGTGTGGTGGATATGGTAATGTTGGATTTGTATAAAAGACATGTATAACCGTGTTGATGAATAATGGAGAGTGTTGATTGAGGCTGGGGATGCAAAAAATGCAATTGCATATTTCAATAGGAGGAAAGCCACCGATAAATCATTATTCTTGAGTATGATATGGACGAAGAATCAGGTTGAAAACCCTTTTTTGGGCAGATTATGAGTCCCAATTGGATTATAAATGTTTTGGTCATGTTCTAATATTTGATTCGACTTACAATGTCAATGAGTACCATAAGCTGCTTGTTGTATTTTTTGAAGTGAACAATCATTATAATATTGTTGTATTTGGTACAGCGTTGGTATCAGGTGAGAGTGTTGAAGACTATGAGTGGCTCCTTCACACATTAACCAAAGCTATGGGAGAATGAAAGCCAAAGGCCGCCATAACAGATAGGGACAAAGCAATGAGAAGGGCAATAAATAATGTGTGTTCCCGGATGACTGAAATAGATTATGCACTTTGCATTTGATGAAAAACGCAGACGCCGAAGCCAAATCAAATGTATTCAAGCCAATGTTTGGCAGGATGATGAAAAAAGCGTACCCTATTTCTGACTTGGAGGAAGAGTGGTTTGCCGTTGTGGGTAATGTGGACTTCGCGAAAATAAATGGTTGGAAAAGATTTTTGAAATGAGGTTGTTGTAGGTCGAATCGTTGTTTCGTGATAATTTTTTTGCTGGTATGCAAAGCACTCAAAGGTGCCAACAATTGAACGCTTTTCTTAAACAACATT